ATAGTCCCGGATTGCAATAAATGTGACTCTTTAATTCGACTTCTTGAGGCGTCCTTCTGTGATTCGAGGGGTACATTACAACAATTATCCCTAGGTTCCTGATCACATGCTTTATTACCCTGGGAATATTGGCTCCAGATGGGGTAGGTGGTGAATTTAATAACACAATCATTCCTGAATCAAGTGAGCATCCATAGTCCATTTTATTCTTGTATTGAATAGTAGTAGGAAATGAAGGGAGACACAAAGAGAAAGGGGGAAGTAATGTTTTCAGTGTGCCTACTAATGTTCTAAGCTTTGTGTTAGAAACTTTCCATTTTGGTTATAACATTTCATCCCAAAACACAAACTTACAAGGTAGATATTATATCTCAGTCTTATAGGCAAGGAAACTGAAGCTCAGAAGGGGGTCAGTTGCTCAGGGTCACAGAGCTAATTAGTGACAGAGTCAGAATTTAAAGTCTGGTCTATCTAATTAAAGAGTTCACGCTATTATAACACAGAACACAGAGAAGGCAAAGTTCCTGTTGCTCTTAAGATATCTTTGGCTCCTGTTACCAATACCAATAATCAGTTCTTCTCCGTTTTGCTTGCCTGAATTCACCCCCCAAACTATATGCTGTCCAAATGATTATGGCAATCTCATTCATTGATTTAAACTACATTTTATTTTCATTTATTTTTTGTTTCCTTTATCTTTCTTCCTTTTTGTTTTTGTTAAGAAAATTGGGCATATTAGCACAGTAGGTCCACTGATAAATAAGACTTATATTGGGGAGATAGCTTTCTACCTGCTGGTCTAGTATGTTAACCAGAGATGAGATTTTTTAAAAAATGTTTTTATTATTTATTTTTAAAATATGTTTTTATTGAATTTTTTGTTGTTTCTTTTTTAACAAAATTTTTTTAGAGAGAGAGGAAGGGAGAGGGATAGAAACACCAATGAGAGAGAAACATCATAGATCGGCTTCCTCCTGCATGCCCCCTACTGAGGATCAAGCCCACAACCCAGGTGTGCTTTGATCGGGACTCGAACCAGCGAACTCTAGGTTCATAGGTCGATGTTCAACCACTGAGCCACACTGGCCAGGCCAGAGGTGAGATTTAAAAAAGATAGGACACTGTGACATCTTCCTATAATTTAGGAACACTTTAAGACTGAAGGAATGAAAAGGATAAAAGGAAGTTGAGTGATGGCTGTTTTTGTTGTAAAAAGCAAAGGCTCTATAAAAATGATTAATGTTGTATTTTGTTATGTATTGTGCTTTGTATATAATAATAACAATGAAGAGTGAGGTACAGTTGTGGCCTGTATGGCTCAGTGGTTGGAGTGTCAGCCCGAAGACCAAATGGTCATGGGTTCGATTCCAAGGCACATACCTGACTTTTCTTGATGAAGTCTGTCCATCTGTAAATGGACCAAATGGTCACAGGTTCGATTCCAAGGTACATACCTGGGTTGCAAGTTTGATCCCCACCCCGGTTGGGGTGCATGCAGGAGGCAACCAATTGATGTGTCTCTCCCACATTGATGTTTTGCTCTCTCTCACTCCCCTCCACTCTCTAAAAATTAATGGAAAAAATATCCTCGGGTGAGACTGGAGGCTTTGCCTCCCAAAGGCACCATGAAGACGGATAAGCAGGCAGACATAAGGAGCAGTGTGACCTCTCCAGTACAGAGCTAGTTAATTTTTACTTCAGTCAGTGAAGTGTGAGAGTGCATAGGTGGAGGCCTAAACATGTAACAAGAAAAAGCTGAGTCTGAAATAGGGGTTATGAAGACACTGTCGAAGTCTGAGAGGAAGGTGAGGACAGGAGCAGGGATCAGCTCACCAGGGGGCACTTTCATGGGTTGTCAGGAGAGTGAGGTAAAAAAGCCTGTGAAGTTGATCAATATAAAATGTCAAAATCCTAGGACTGGGCAGGACCTAAACAAGTTATCTTGTCCACTTTCCTATCTTTAGCTAAAGGGGCCTTTTAAACTTTCTCTAGGTATTTAGTTACGAGATGTGTAGGACTTAGAGATTAAAAAAAAAAAAGATATTGGAAGTGCTGTGGAAGAAGTAGCTAAGATTTGAGGATTGTCAAATATAGATAGTATAGATGGGCACTGGAAGTGATTAGTATTGGATAGTTAGGAGGGAGGGAGAGCTGAAATACCTAGTGAAAACCCAAATGTCCATGTGAAAACATCCTGGTGGGTCTCCACTGTGAACCCTGTCCTTCACTGTGCAATCCTACCTTTTATCATCAGGACCAGACTTACAAAGTGGCATCCTTGAGAACATTTTCTGACTTTATGGTGTGAAGTTTCCAGGCTCTTAATTCTGGACGAACTTGAATGGTTGACCAGAGCAAGGAACGTAGTGTTCAGATAAAGTTTTGTATGTTTTGTTTTTCTCTATCTCATGACTGGAGCCACAATTCTGGTCAAGGACCTAACTTTTCTTTTTTTAAATATATTTTTATTGATTTCAGAGAGGAAGGGAGAGGGAGAGAGAGATAGAAACATCAATGATGAGAATCATTGATCAGCTGCCTCCTGCATGCCCCCTACTGGCGATCGAGCCCACAACCCGGGCATGTGCCCTTGACCAGAATCGAACCCGGGAACCTTCAGTCCGCAGGCTGGCGCTTTATCCACTGAGCCAAACCGGCTAGGGCAAGGACCTGACTTTTCTTGATGAAGTCTGTCCATCTGTAAATCAGCTAAGTATCCTCCTGGAGGCTTTGCCTCCCAAAGGCGCCATGAAGACGGATAAGCAGACAGACATAAGGAGCAGTGTGACCTCTCCGGTACAGAGCTAGTTAATTTTTACTTCAGTCAGTGAAGTACTTACTTAGCCCTACTCTAGTAGTTATAGAGAGGAATACCAAACTATAAGAAACACTCTCTGTCCCTAAGATTATTAAAATTTAGCTGGAGAGCTAAAACCAACATAGACACAAAAAATTAAAGCCTAATAAATGTTGAATCATGTGGTGGTGACTAGAATGCTACAGGAATTCAGAGGAGATATATCAGTAGAAGCTGGAGAAGTAAAGAAATCTTAGAGAAAAGGGGACTCCCAAGGACCAGAAAGATTCAGAAAATTAGGAGGGAGAGGAAGGACAAGTTTGACAGTAGAAGCAAAGGTAAGAAAAAGTGTGGCAAGAGCTAGAAACCAGATTGGAGTATATGTTACATGTTGAGGACCAGTGGGAAATAACATCCCAGTATTTCTTCTGTCCTCTGCCCCATCCGTTGATCACTGACTTTGCTACGTAAGGAAGTTGGAACTATGGCAGCTACCAGGACAGGGAACTCTTCATAGTTCCATTTTCTATTAAGGCACTTCTCTTCCCTTGGTTTAACTCTGGCCTGACCTGATAAGACTTTCCTATCTTGGACATGCAGGTGTAGAAGGCATTACTGTTTGACCAGAGACATTGGCAGCAAACAGGGGGACAATAAGGATAAATCCTATTGTTCTTCAGTTGAATAATTATCAGGGTGAATAATTACTGCTTTAAAAAGTCTGCAGTGGGGCTGGGAATCTGCATTTTTAATAAGTACCTAGTGATTCTGTTGCAGGTACTCAGTGGAAACAGACTTTAAGAAACATTGCCATAAACTAAAGTATAATTGACAATAAAGTGCCAACATATACACAGTGACACACATATAAACATACTGTTTATGTATTCCTGGGCTTATTCATTTTTTAGAATTTATCCTCTCTCATCTATGGCTCTTATAAAATTCACATGGCTGTCATCTAAGGAGCAAGTTGGAGACATTCTGTTTGGTGTTTAGTTTTGTCTTCCCAACTAGATTGTAATCACTTTAATGACAGGGACCCCTCAGACTTTTCTTACTTTCCCACAGTAAGGTGAGAGACCATCTTTTTTCCATAATTAAAAAAAAAAAAGTTCTTATTGCCCTAGCGGGTTTGGCTCAGTGGATAGAGCATTGGTCTTTGGACCAAACGGTTGCAGGTTTGATTTGTGGTCAAGGGCATGTACCTTGGTTGTAGGTTCAATCCCAGGCTGTGAACAGAGGGAAACCAATCGATGTGTCTCTCTCATATCAGTGTTTCTCTTTCCTCACTCTCTCTCTCTTTCCTTCATCCCTCCCTTCCACTCTCGCTAAAAAAAAAAAAAAAAAAATTAATGAAAAATATCCTCTTCTGGTGAGGATTTAAAAAAATAAAAATTAAAAAATACGTTTTTATTGAATTTTTTAGAGAGAGAGAAACATCATCATTTGGGTGCCTCCTGCATGTCCCCTACTGGGGATTGAGCCTGCAACCTGGGCATATACCCTGACCAGGAATCAAACTGTGACCTCTTGGTTCCTGGGTTGATGCTCAACCACTGAACCATACCAGCTGGGCTTTCCCCCTAATTTTTTAATATATTTTATTGTTTTTTTTTTTACAGAGAGGAAGGGAGTGGGGTAGAGAGTTAGAAACATCAATGAGAGAGAAACATTGATCAGCTGCCTCCTGCACACCCCCTACTGGGGATGTGCCTGCAACCAAGGTACGTGCCCCTGACCGGAATCGAACCCGGGACCCTTGAGTCCACAGGCTGATGCTCTATCCACTGAGCCAAACCAGTCCAGGCCCCCCTAATTTTTTTAAAATTGATTTTTTTCAATTATAGTTAATGTCCAATATTAGAGACCATCTTTAAGGTTGGATGATATCTGGAATGTTCAGGATAAATCTGACAACCTTCTTAAAAAACTTGGAAGCCATTTGATATTTGGGACCTTGTATTAGTTTTCTAGGGCTCCCATAATAAAGTACCACAGATTGGGTGGCTTAAACAACAGAAATTTATTTCTTCACAGTTCTGGAGACTGTAAGTCTGAAAATCAAGGTGTTCCCAGGGTTGGTTTCTTCAGAAGCTTCTCTTTGGATTGTAGATAGCCATCTTCTCCAGCATAAGAGCAACAATTCTGGCAAATGCTTTATCAATTTGTGATTCACGGATGGTCTCTCCTCTGTGTGTGTCTGTGTCCTAGTTTCCTCTTTTTATAAGGACACCAATAATTTGGAATTAGGGACTACCCTAATGACCTCATTTTAATTTAACTTCCTCTTTAAAGATCCTATCTCCAAATATATTCACCTTCTGAGGTGATGGGGATTAGGACGTTAACATATGAATTCTGGGACACAATTCATCCCATTATTGCTGTCTAGTTTCAGCTTCTAGAAATGTTCTACTCCCTTCTCTTACACTTGTTAGTCTTGTATAGTAAGTTCTCTCCACCCTTTGGCTCTCCTCCTCCGCTTCTTACTGACATAATGGCTTGTGTGGCAAGAACTCCTGAAACAGCTCTACAGAGCCTATAGTAAAGATTGGCAGGTTTTGGCATGCACCACTTTGGAGTTGTTGAAATTTCAGGTGTATTGCCTTAAAGACACAGCTCTGCCCACTTGTCTTAACATTTGATGGTAATGATTAGATTATTAGATCCCACATGGTCTTGGTAGATCCTAACTCATCCTTCGTTTTCTTTCACTGAAGCTCTTTTATTAGGCCTTTCCTTGGCTAGTTCTTTAGAGCTTAATTACTTCAAATATTCAGTGAGGTCAAAAGCAGGACATGTAATGGCTTGCTGAAATTTCACATAAGGATAGTTTTTGAGGGTAACCTGATTTTGCAGTGCTCCTAAGGCTGATAAACAGCAACACCATTAAGAAGCAATCTTGGGGCCAGAGTTCCTATTACTTCATGGGAACTAGCAGATGAAAAAGAAAAGAGGCAACCTCAAGATTTTTAATTCTTTCCAAAGTCACTTCCTTCATGCCAGCTTCAGAGACCACTATCAGGGAGAGGTAAAACTTCCCTCTTTCCAGGCCTTTTTTTTTTTCCAGTAAGCCAAGTCAAACATCCTGTTAAACCTGCAATTATCTTTAAGTTCTGATTTCCTTTGTTTGTTCAACTGACATGCATCCAATGACAAACACAGCTATTGTGAAATGTGGGTCAGTGCTCTGTCAAGTCTACATCTTTCTAAATTTCTGTTTCTAGTCCCTAATATTTTAAAGTTGGCTGGTTAATTCTTAGAGAAGCCACTACCTCATGGCATTGAGGGCTCCTAGATGAATATTGCTCCTTGTTGGTCAATCCTCCAATCTTCCTGCCTCTCCTTGGCCCAAGAACTTCTGACCTCAGGTGTGTGTTTCTACCCTATGCATTTTTTGCCCTCTGGCACAGAACTTCTTGCCAAATCATCCTCTGTACATCTCTTGGCCTTTAGCACAAGCTTGTGTAAGGATCAGAAAAGTACTCTGGGCGTTCATTAAATCCTTGCAAGGGGTTAAACTCACTCCATTCTTCTGAAGTGCAGTTTTCTCTTTTCTCCAGCACAATAGTTATTATATGTTGGGACTTTTTTTAGTTCCTATTTTCAACACAGCCACCATGAAAGTCTGCTATAAATAAAGAAAAAATAGAGAAATTGGTTGGCTTCATCTCAAAGGTTTGGTGGAACCACAGTGGAAGTTGGGAGACACACTCAAATCGGGGAAGTCCGGAATTGACTGCCACGAATCTTCCCTGCTCAGGGCGGGCAGAAAAAGCTGCGGCCCTTCAGTCCACCGCCCTTCTTACTGAGCTTTCCTTCCCGAGGCTGGCCCGCCCCGCCCCCGGATCCAGCAGCAGAGACGCCTTGCAGGTGGGCTGCTCCGGGTCCGAGGAGCGAGCCGAGGGAGTCTGGGTACGTGGTTCCAGAAGAGGGGTCACTTCGCCTGCACTAACTTGCAAACCAGCCTGTGTGATCCCGGGCAGCTCACGGTGCAATGCCCACCTCTTCAGGGGGTTAGAAATGAACACGCCAAGATCCTCACGAGGCCCGCACACCAACCACTCTGCTCGGTCCAGGGCTCCCTTCCCGCGCTACACGCCTGCTGGCCCCGAGCGTTTCTCTCCCTGGTCCGAGGAGCACGCAGGGCCATTTCCCCCCTCCCTTGTCCGCCTGAAGCGGGGG